AGGAGAATCTGAAGATCGATAAGCGTGTCACGCGCTTCGTGTTGCCCATCGGCGCCACCATCAACATGGACGGCACTGCCCTGTACGAGGCTGTGGCCGCGATCTTCATCGCCCAGATGAACGGCATCGATTTGGATGGCGGGCAGATAGTCACTGTCAGGTACAGCGCCGCCCCCATGAGTCTGTGTGCCTGTTTCTCAGCCTCTCTGACTTTAAGTGTGTGTGAGTGTGTAAGTGATAGTGAGAGTGTATATGAATATGTGTGAAAGTGCAAGAGTGTATGTGAATGTGTGAGTGTTCACGTGAGAGTGCGAGAGTGTGTGCGAGTGTTCACGTGAGAGTGCGAGAGTGTGTGCGAGTGTTCACGTGAGAGTGCGAGAGTGTGTGTGAGTGTTCATGTGAGAGTGTGAGAGAGTGTGTGTGAGTGTTCACGTGAGAGTGTGAGAGTGTGTGTGAGTGTGTGTTCATGTGAGAGTGCGAGAGTGTGTGCGAGTGTTCACGTGAGAGTGCGAGAGAGTGTGTGAGTGTTCACGTGAGAGTGCGAGAGAGTGTGTGAGTGTTCACGTGAGAGTGTGAGAGTGTGTGCGAGTGTTCATGTGAGAGTGCGAGAGTGTGTGTGAGTGTTCATGTGAGAGTGTGAGAGTGTGTGTGAGTGTTCACGTGAGAGTGCGAAAGTGTATGTGAGTCTGCACATGAGTTTGTGAGAGTATGAGTGTTCACATGAGTGTGTGAGAGTGTGTGTGAGTGTTCACATGAGTGTGCGAGAGTGTGTGTGTGTTCACGTGAGAGTTCGACAGTGTATGTGAGAGTGCAAGAGTAAGTTTGAGTGTTCACATGAGTGTGCAAGAGTGTATTTGAGTGTGCAAGAGTGTCTGTGAGTGTGCACATGAGTGTACATGAGTCTGCACGTGAGTGTTCACGTGAGAGTGCGAGAGAGTGTGTGTGAGTGTTCACGTGAGAGTGCGAAAGTGTATGTGAGATTGCGAGAGTAAGTTTGAGTGTTCACGTGAGAGTGCCAGAGTGTATGTTAGTGTGCGAGAGTGTGTGCAAATGAGAGTGTGAGATTGTATGTGAGAGTGCATGTGAGAGTAGAGGAGTGCGTGTGAGTCTTTCAGTGCTTTTCTGAGCCTCTGAGCCTCTCTGTGTCTCCCTCCCAGTCTGACTGCTATCTTAGCCATTGTGAGAGTGTGAGAGAGTGTGAGAGAGTGTGGGAGTTTTTCTGTGCCTCTGAGCCTCTCTGTCTCTCTGTCTCTATCCCAGTTTGACCGCTACCTTGGCCAGTGTAGGTGCAGCCAGTATTCCCAGTGCAGGACTGGTCACCATGCTGCTGATCCTAACTGCTGTGGGACTACCCACCCAGGACATCAGCTTGCTGATTGCTGTGGACTGGCTGCTGTGAGTGACCACTACCCACTGGCATGAACATTTGCTGACTGCATGGATCTGGCTACTTTTATTGACCTCTGACTGTATGGACTGGCTACTGTGTGTGACCACTGACCACTATCGGGCAAGTCCAAAGACTGCTCACTGTGAGTGACCACAGAGTGGATGTGT